TTAACTTTTGGTGGGTTAAATGGAAATCCCCACTAACCACTAAAAGGCTCAAAGGCTAAGGGGGATGGCTGGGAGCCACCAAGTATCAGATGGCTCTTTCAAAGCAACCTGAGAACAAACAAAGCAGCAAGGCTATCCTGGCGCCAAATGATCTCTGCTTGGTATGTGGGGGGGGAGGTCGTGAAAATTGGGGGTCTTTGTCGGTATCCCTTTCCTTCCAGTTGTGTTTTTGTTAAACATCCAGTAGTGATAGATTCCCTTTAAGACCAGCAGGGGAAATAAAACATCTTCTTAAACAAATGGACGTTTTGCAAGGCGGCAAACAGTTGCCAAAGCTTGCCAGATCGGCCTTCGGCGGCGTTCGCTCTGGGTCCATGCCCAAATCCTCTGCTGCCTCACGGCGTGTCAAGGTCAGTGGCTGACGAAAAAAACCAACTCGCCAGAGCATAGGTGTCCTTTTAGGGGGTTTAGATGGCCCTGGTAGATGATTAAACCACCAGGCAAACCAGTGCCATCTATTTTTCTAGCAAAACAACCAAAAAGGACACTTATGCGCCAGAGCCACGCTTTTTTTTTTAATAAAGTTTTGTTCCCCCAAGACGTGGGACACTGATGCCTCTCGGTGCATTAAAAAAGGGGGCACATACCAAGAACTCAATTGCTCACCTGGCCGGTCGGGTCGGATGATCTGTCCATTTGCGGAGGCACCCTCTGTCACTGTTTCCGGTGGAATTCACTCGGAGCCGCCGCCGTAGCCTCTGAACCGACTGAACGTCCATTTGCTGAAGGCCCCTTTCAAAACATTTTGTTTGTCCAATAGTGAAATCGATTCCCTTCAAAACCAACAGGGAAAGTAACACACACACATCGATTCTTCAACGAATGAATAGTGATAGATTCCCTTCCAAACCAACAGGGAAAACAACACCTATTCTTAAACGAATCAAAAGTTATTGAGCCAACGTCAGGGAAGGAGCCTTAGATTCTTTTTCGGGCCTTTGGCCATCGCAACTCTCCCGTGAGGTCAGATCGTTTGAGCCGAAGAGGCTACCCTTCCTCCCACGTTGCAGAAGGCACCTGAGGGCACCTGGAAGATCAGCTTCCTCTTGGGACCTTTTGTGAGGTGCCATGGCGTTAGTGGGAGAGAGGGGGCTGGTTTAAAGAAGTGGACACCAGGGGAACCCACCCATCTTGGGGGTTCCCCGATTTTGACACATACCCCCAGACATCTGGCTGTGGGTCAAGCCTAGGTGCCCAACATGAAACCCTGGTACATGGAGCCAAGAACTGGCTTTTTTGTAACGACCTTTTTGCGTTTCTCTCTGGTTTCCCCCTCAAACACCCAGCCAAAAAAGCGGGTCCAACTTGGAGAGGCGTTTTTTGAACCTTGTTTGGGTGCCAAACTGACCTCCTCCACGGTGGAACCGCCTTTTGGACCTTCCTTCTCCGGCCAAAAGACGACATCGAGACATACTAAAGTGCGGGGGCCCCGGACCTTGACCAACTTGGTGTGCTCCCGCATCTTCCAGAAGAGCTCATCGCCCTTCTCGAACTGCCCGGCCTCATTTGGCCACATGGCCATGGCGATGGCGAGCCATGGCGAGGGCAACAAAAAGGACCGCCCCTGCCGTTTTATGCTCAGGTGACTTGTTTTAATTTTTATTTTTCCCCGGCAAGCCGGTGCAATTGCATGATGCCCCGTTCTATCTCCCGGGTGAGCTTCCCCCTTTGTCACGCCTTCCACGATCAACATTCAGAACCAAGTTTGTCGGCTCACCAACCCCAAAGGAAATCCGGTTCAGTGCGCCACATGTCAACCATTCCTCGTTTTCCTCGAAGGTCAAGTCCGAGGTTGGGGGAACTGTTCCAACATCTTCACACTGCTCTTGCGGGCATCCCTATCCCTAGGTCTCCGTGGGTAATTATCCCGAAAGGCTGTCCATGCTGCTTGCTTAAACCTGTCATCGGACCCCCGGCGTTCTCACAGGCCCGGATCGCTGGCATATAGTTGTCCTGCGCACATGTCAGCGCCTTGAAAGAATCAGAGGGAGAAGGGACGAGTAACGACTAGTACTGTCGACCAAATCCCTGGCTTGGGACTTCAGGAAGTTCGCTCTGTGTCTCCGAAAAAAAAAAGAGAGGAAGTCTTGTCTTGCTGTGGATGGACGAAATCCATTTCGCACCACCTGAGTAAACCTGGAATGATATGTGATTCCCCAACGAAAGAAACCCAACGAGCGTTGTGGTTTCAAACACAGTTTCAATTCGGTGGTGCGAACGGATTTCATTCATCCACAGCATGAATCCAACCTGGAGGGCCGTTGATTCTGGGAATCCGCTTGCGGATCTTTTCCTTCCAGGAATCTCTGCTGAACTGCTGCCTTAGTGACTTAGTGTCCATGGGAAACAACACCTTCTTTGGACAAGCTCGCCAAACAGCTAGCAACTGACATCCTCAAGCTGCGAAAGACAGCTCAAGCCACGATTTTAAGGCCCCCATTTTGTTTGTTTCACATGGCATCACTGCTGAGACGCTTCCTTTTTCGATTTTTGGACGAAGGGCTTGGAGAAAGGCCTTGGTTCGTTGCTGGTCTCTGGCCATCCTATCCTTCGGCTACTGCCCAGTTTTCAATGCCCGCAGGGAGGAGGGGGGCGCCTATTCCATGACATCTGCTTTCAGCCCATACCCTAATTGCCGCTGCCAGAGGGTAGGGGAAATTAGGACAAGGCGGGAATCCTGGGATAACAGGGGCTCTATGCCCACCTTCCGGTGTTTCACAATGCTCCGGTGCGCTCGGATCCTCGTTGGGCACGATGCCGTATTCCCACAGTTGGTCCAGGAGATTCAGGGCCTGCGCGCGCTCGTTGCTTGGGTGCGACTCAAATACTAGGTCCTCCAGTAGAGAGGTTAGAATAAGTTGGTACCAACTTTTTCTGTAGTCTACTTTAGTAGGGGAACCCTCCCCCAACAAAAAGGGTAAAAGGGCACCCAGCTGGGGGACCTTGCCAAGTTTGCACAACCCGCATAAGCCTTGGCTCAGACAGCATAGGTCTTCGTTGCTTGGGGCTGCGCGAAAGCCGAAAGCCACTGCTTTGATCAGGCCCCGAGTTTTGCTACGCATGGCAAAGGCGAACGTTGCGAAGTTGCAGATCGCACCTGGTCACGACTCCCAGTGGTATGTCATGAGCCCTGTGAGGTGTCAAGGAAAATTATGGCCTCCATTTGCTTCAGCCCCCGAAAAAGCAAAGCTTCCAAGAGTGAGATCGCTTCCCTTTAAATCCACCAGGGGAAAATCGAATACATCAGCTCAGCAAATGGAAGCTCCATGCTGGGCACGTCCATTCCTTTCTGAAAGCGCAGGCACGTCCTTCCAGCCCGTCCGGAGAACCCAAACCTTTGGGTGTGGTGGTCAAAAATCGGGTGACCCTAAAATTTTTGTTGCCCAATCGGTGAATGACAAGGACGAAAACCAGCGGTCCATATCCTGGTGGTCTGATTTTGGGCCACACCCGGTGCAATCTTTGTTGCTGGCGCCGCTGGGAAAAAGGGCAGGCCCCTGCGGTGAACGAGTGTCGATGGGCACGGGGCAACATTTTTGAATCCGATCGTTGAAATAACATTGGCGTGAAATTCAATGTGGGACCCTTTGGTGGCTCTTGATCGATATTCGCCATATGGCCGTGGCTCAAAAAATGCACAACAATGGCACTTTGCTAAATGGAAACTAACACTCCAACTTGTGTAGGCCTGGGTCTTTCAAATCTTGAGCCACCACCCATACAATCTCTTGCTCTCTCAGCCGGGGCTTAAGAACCAGTCGCTTCGCCGTTTGTTTGCAAAACCACAGGGTACCCCTTTCAAAGCTCCAAAGGGACCCCGAAATGGAAGACTCGGTTCCATTTACGGAGGCCTTCTGGGAGCTCCCACGGAGCTCCCACGTTTCGAACAAATTCCCCGCCTTCTCCCACAAGGCGCCCTGCTCGCAGGCCATCAAGGCATGCTCCGCGCCGATGCGCAAAGGCGCCTGGCACCAGGCGGCCAGGCACTTCCCTCGCTCGTTTTTGGAAGCTTCGGGTCGAATCCCACAGCTCGAAGCCGGCCTGGTGGGCCAGAGCCCCAAAGCTCCAGTGGGAAACTCCAGACACGGGTTGAACTTGAGGCAGTTGGATCAGCAAAACCACCCTGGGTCTTGAGACCTTTTTGGTCATCTACTTCGTGGCCTGAGATGGAGCCTTAAGCTCGTCAAGGAGATCTGCTGAAAGTGCAGAGGTCTTCATGCTGAGTGTTCCCAAGGTTCTTCCTGGCACTGGGTGTCCAAAATTAGCAACCCGCCTTGGGTGATGGCGTTTGCACCCAAATGGAGTCAGCTGCTACGGCATGTCTCAAACAATGCAGGATGCTGGCTGTTCTTCCAGTCGCCATGAAATATGTCAGACAAAGGTTCTGAGATTCTTATGGCTTGGCCTTGCCTATTGAACTAGCAAGGCTACTCCTCAGGCTCGAAATTCCAGCCCGGAGTTGGTTCCAAAGCAACTCGATCTCCATATCTGCGGACTGTGCAGCATCGAATCCCTACAACTAACATTCGGGTAGAGCGCATTCGGCCAAAGGACAAAGGTCGTCAAGCCAGATTGAGTTCCCGAAACAACAACTTCAATCTGCGTGTCTGCGCGGGGTGCTGAGTAAGAAAGTGCCTGCAACAAAATAATAAGGGGCAACAACAAGCAAGGCCTGGCCAAAGTCTAGATGTAAAACCACAACAAGCGAAGTATGCCAAACATAAAACCATGCTTGGAATTGCCTGGCAAAACAACTGGGACGATGCAATTACACGTGGGCATCCCTTGCGCCCTTATGCGCTGGTATTGGAAGGGTATTGGTGGGTTTGCACTCTGGCGCTTCTCCAACTCGGCTGGACAAAACAAGTGTAGCGCGCAAAGTACACCTGGCAGCTTCTCGACCATGGCAACCTCTCAGCATACATCGCAATTCACGACGTACACGTAGGCATCTCCAGGGCAATTGTTTGGATTCGGCCTGCGGGTTGGCTAGCGGTTTGGCCCTTGCAAGTTCCTTCCGCAATCTTGGTTAGCGACAACAGCTTGGACGTCAGGACAACAAGCTCAGGGATGGGCCCTCACATAATGAAAAGGCGAGTTTGTTTGTTGTCGACTCAGGTGCTAAAGAGCACCCCCATCTTCCTCTCGGGTATATCCAAAATTCGGGGGGCTGTTTCGCACCCAAAGCCACGCTTTAAACAGGCCGACTCCGCCATCTGCTTACTCTGCATCTCATCCAGCGTCTCGACTGCCTCAAATGCATGGGGTTTTTCTTTGATGGCTGGCACTCGAGCTCAGGACACTCCAATCAGATGCTTGGAACAAGGATGCATGGGCACAAACGCAACGCAAGTCGTCACCTCTCCAAGGCACCGCTTTGATGCGAACCTTCGAGCTCTGGGACACCAGAACCAGTTGGTTCTTTTGGGGATGCTTTGGTTGAGGAGTATAGCTTTTCAACACAGATCCCTCAGTTTAAACCATCAAAGCAGGAACCCAAATGATCAGGTATTCGGATCGATCCCTCTCCGATTGGATCCCACTTTAGCCAATGCCAGCATGCACCCATTAGCGTTGGAGAAGCTATGCCCGTGTCACGAGCTCTTGTCGAAATGGGACTGGTGGGATCCTGTTAATCCATACACCAAGGGCAAGCACGTAATTCATGATGTGGCCACATGGGCCCATGGGTGTTTCTCAAAGTCGACCCAACTTGGTGAGCGTTTTCCTTTTCCCCGAACCACCAAGACTTGGTCCTCTTCCGTTTGCTTACGCCCCCTGGAAACAATGAAGCTATTTCCAGTGGTAATGATTGCCTTTAAGACCAACCAGGGAACATTAAACAATATTCATTGCAATGGCAGAAAGCCGTAGGGAGGTGGTCGCGTTCTCCCTCTTCCCATGGTTCATTTCAGCAGATGGAAGTTCAGTAAAAAGTATTCCTTTCAGCACATGGAAGGCTTTTGGTGGTTTCAACCTCTAACTTCAGCAAATGGAGGCTGAGGTGTTTTGTTTTTTGCATAGCCCTGGCATTAGCCTAACCCTGGCACAGCCTGGAGACACTAACGGACAAAGGTTTGGGGTAGGTTTAGGGTAGGCTTGGGGTAGTCCGGCCCTTCTCAGCATCACCAGGTTTTGGTTTAGGCTGGGTTTAGGGTGGGTTTTAGGTTGGCTCAGGGTTGGCTCCGGGTGGGTTCCAAACCTATTAATTACACCAGCGTAGACCCCAGATAGCACATCACGGCTACGAACCATTATGCAGCATCATAATGGTTCCCGAGGCATCATGATGATGTTGACAGCATCATGATGATGTTGAAAGCATCATGATGATACCACAGCCACTCAGCATCATGCTGATGCACCAGCAACGAACGATTCCGCGCCACATATCTAGCAGAAAAAAGGCAGAGACGACGTCCTGATGAGTTCGACAGCATCATGATGATGCGGACAGCATCACGATCATGGTGATGCGAACAGCATCATGGTAATGGTAAAATTGAAAAGGCAGCATCATGATGATACCACAGCCACGAATCTTCTCGCGACAGCGTAGTGAAATTCAGCATCATCCTGATGTTGGCAGCAATCATGGCGCCACCACACCCACGAACCATAACGCAGCATCGCAGCATCGCAGTGACAGCAGCATCATGACGCGGGTGACAACATCATGATGACACACCAGCCACGAACCACGCACCATGACAAACGACTGTTAGACTACTAGAGCAGCAACAACACCGTCACCAACACCTCAAGACAGCAGCCCCAACAGCACCCCAACGCAGCACCCGCACCAGCATTGGACAGGTCCCCGAGCACCGAGCACCTTGCCGTCACGTACTGTCACCAGCCCGAACAGCACCTCAAAACTGTACCTGCGCCAGCACCCCAAAGTGCATGCCCCCTAGCTCCCAACCGTCGATCTTGCAAAACAATCCCACTTCTTCATTAGAAGTTAGAACCCCGGCAGCCCAACACAGCAGTTGCACCACCACCCCAAACTGCGTCAAGCTCGCAAAACAGCACCAGCACCCCGAACTACATCTGGCACCCGGCCGTCAATCTCGCAAAACAGCACCTCCACCAACACCCGAAACTGCATGCCCCCTAGCACCCGGCCATCACTCTCGCAAAACAGGCAAACACTCTCGCAAAACAGCACCTCCACCAACACCCCAAACTGAATGCCTTTAGCGCCCGGCCAACTCTCGCAAAACAGCACCTCCACTAGCACCCCAAACTGCATGCCCCCTAGCACCCGGCCATCACTCTCGCAAAGCAACACCTCCACCAGCACCCACTGCATGCCCCGTAGCGCTCGGCCATCAATCTCGCAAAGCACCTTCACCAGCACGTCACACCTGGCACCCGGCCGTCAATCAGCACCTCCACCATCACTGTCGCAGAACAGCACCTCCACTAGCACCCCAAACTGCATGCCCCCTAGCACCCGGCCATGCAAAACAGCACCTCCACCAACACCCCAAACTGCCTGCCCCCTAGCACCCGGCCATCACTCTCGCAAAACAGCACCTCCAAGCATGCCCCCTAGCACCCGGCCATCACTCTCGCAAAACAGCACCTCCACCAACACCCCAAACTGCATGCCCCCTAGCACCCGGCCATCACTCTCGCAAAACAGCACCCCCACCAACACCCCAAACTGCATGCCCCCTAGCACCCGGCCGTCAAGCTCGCAAAACAGCACCTCCACCAGCACCCCAAACTGCATGCCCCCTAGCACCCTGCCATCACTCTCGCAAAACAGCACCTCCACCAACACCCCAAACTGCATGCCCCCTAGCGCCCGGCCATCACTCTCGCAAAACAGCACCTCCGCCAGCACCCCAAACTGCATGCCACCCGGCCGTCAATCTCGCAAAACAGCACCTCCACCAACACCCCAAACTGCATGCCCCCTAGCACCCGACCATCACTCTCACAAAACAGCACCTCCACTACTAGCACCCCAAGCTGCATGCCCCCTGGCACCCGTCCGTCAAGCTCGCAAAGCAGCACCTCCACCAGCACCCCAAACTGCATGCCCCCTAGCACCCGGCCCTCAATCTCGCAAATCACTTTTCCTTCTTTATTAGAAGTTAGAACCCCTATAGCTTTCAGCTATCTGGGGAAAAACAAATTTGGGGGTGGCTGTGTTTGCGGCAGATGGTTCAGTGCCGGTTTATGGTGAGGCTTCTTGAGGCTGGTCTCGGGTGGGTTTAGGGCCGGTTTCGCGTGGGTTTAAAATTGGCTTCGGCCACGGTTGTGTTTTAAGCCTTGAAACACAACCGTGGCCGAAGCCAATTTTAAACCCACGCGAAACCGGCCCTAAACCCACCCGAGACCAGCCTCAAGAAGCCTCACCATAAACCGGCACTGAACCATCTGCCGCAAACACAGCCACCCCCAAATTTGTTTTTAATAGGTTTGGAACCCACCCGGAGCCAACCCTGAGCCAACCTGAAACCCACCCGAAACCCAGCCTGAGAATTTTGAAAACGATGCTGAGGATGTCAAAACGATGCCGGGCCTGAACCGACTACCCCAAGCTTACCCTAAACCCACCCTGAACCCATCCCACACCTTTGTCGCACCGAGCCGCCAAGCAACCAAGCAACCAAGCAACCAAGCCACCAACCAAGCAACCAAGCAACCAAGCAACCAAGCAACCAACCAACCAAGCAACCAACCAACCAACCATCCAACCAACCAACCATCCAACCAACCAACCAACCAACCAACCAACCAACCACCTGCCAGGGTTAGCTCTGTGCCAGGGCTAGGCAAAAAAACACCCTTTCCGCAAATGGAAGTTCAACAAAAAGCTTCAGCAAATGGAGTCCGCCAGAAATGCAACGGCAAAAAGACGATGGTCGTGACACGCCTTCCGCCAGTGGCCCCAGGTGTTGTAGGCCACAATCGCTGCCGTGTAGGTGGCCGGAGTCCTGGCAAACGTCCCAGCTGAGACCCATACGTATATATGCATATGCATATGTATACATTTTTGCTATATATATAAATATGTAAATATATATATATATAGCATATATATATATATATATATACATACTATATATAGACCATATATATATATATGTATATATATATACATATACACCATATATATATATATATATATATATATACATATGCCATATATACACAAATATATGGCTGCCAGGGGGCGGGGGGGTACCCATTGGTAGCTGTAGGGAGGGACTAGGACCTGAAACACCTGTACACTTGTGGCCAGTGGCGGTATATCCCATTCAATACCTGGCAGTTTCAACATAGACCCTCCAAAATGGTCATTGTCCTTTCGTGCTCCCTTCAAACCAGCCGCAAAAAATAAGACCCTCAAAATGAAGATCCCAAAACGCGTCAAACTTTCAATGGGCGCTTCTGCTGTGACTTGGAGCAACTACGGGGGAGGACAGCTAGAGGACGCATCTGCGCTGCTTATTCTCTAATGCTTGCTTGGGACAATAGGCGGCTAAGAGAGAAGCTGCATGTGAGGTACATGGTGCCATGAATGGCAGCTTTCGGACTTCCGCCTGAGCATTGCCGCAAAAACATGATCCTAACGCAGTCAGTGGGGCGGCCAGGCAAAGCTGAAACTTAAGCGACACAAAACGCCCGATCCGTGCACACACACACACACATGTGTGTGTGTGTGTTCCCGCTCAAACATTCATATGTAAACCGCAACATGGAAGTGTCTCAGTGGCTTTCCAGGTTCCTGCTGCCCATTGGGAGGGAATCTAAGAGGTTGAAAAAAATTCCCTGATGCCGCAGATGCAGCAGGCTCCATCTTGCTTTTCTCAATAACCACCATTTTCGCTTGGCCTGGTTCCCGGATGACCTCAGATTCCCGAAGGGTTTGCCACTTCAAGTGTGCTGATAGATCACTCCAAAATCTTGTCAGCTCTAAAATGGGCTTCCACATAGCCACGGGCGTTTATGAGCTCAATGCTAACCCTGAAAGGGGGTGCATGCGAGATCCTATGAGTGAATAAACAGAGCCAGCCTAAGCTAACCCGGATTTGTGGCCAATCAACTCACGTCAAAGCAGAATGTGTCAAATCAAAGGGCGGGGTTGCTGCATGCGCTTCAAAGGGGACCAAACCCTCTCGTAACCCAAGAATCTTGAGGATTGCCCTTGAACAGCCCGAAGGGGGGTTTTCCCAACAAATTGGGGCAACACTATCAACAAAAGGGGGTCCCAGATTTTTCTGGTCGGGTTTTGGTTGGCTCAAGCACGAGAAACAACCTCCCAGCCGACCGCCCCAAAAGGGCCACAAGACGGGCGGACTCTTCTAATCCTCTGCCCTGAGCCGGTGCCGCTATAGTGACCCGGGGCAAGCGTCTTAACACCTAATTGGAAGCATAGTAATTTTCGGCTGAGGCACGCACACACATATATATATATATATATCTACTGATTTATTAATTTATTTGCATATATATATATATATATACACATGTGTTTTACTTTACTCTTTTTTGATTTTGTCTAGACAAACAGTGTGTATGCGTATGCCCATGCGAATGCATGTGAATATGTCTACTTATATTAAGCATGTATGTACGCACGTAGATGTTTTGGCGAACTTCGGGTGACACATCGCACGTCTGCTCGCTATACATGGCTTCCCACCTGGCAAGCTTTCGTCCACTGTCCTGCATGCTTCACAGCTCTTCGTCTGATTCAAGTATGCATGCAGGGAGTGGACGGACTTGTGGCCAAGGGACAGTATGCATGTATATTCTTGTGGCACAAGGGACGGACTTGGCCAAGGGCGCTCAACAAACAGTGGCACTTTGTGAGTCGCCTAGCAACTGTGTCACGTGGCGTGTCGAGTTTTGGCAAAAACCACCTCCACACGGCGAAGCTTCAACCGTCGGATTCTCCGGCGCCTGCTTCTAAGCCTATCTTCCTCTGACCAATGTGTGTATATACTCACTTCCCTGAGTGGATTGGCCAGAAAACCAAGTCCAAACTGCTACTTCCATTTGCTTAAGCCCCCTGGGAAAAATAAAAATACGTCCAGTAGTGATAGATTCCCTTTAAAACCAACAGGGGAAAATCAAACATATTAAACAAGTGGAAGTTTAGCTTACCACTACAATGGTGGAAATTCAAAGTGAGCAAAGTCCATGAGCTCAGGAAGAGAGCAGCACATCTGACGACCAAGGCTCTCGGATGCCCGAGCCAGGGTTCTCGACGAGCGCAAGGCGCTCAAGGCCCGCTGCTTCCAAAAGACCAGGTGAAACATGCAGCCAGCTGTTTCATCGGAAGCGAACCCTTGCGTCCAGGTCTTCGGGAGCCCGTATATCGATTGCAAGGGGTGGGGGGGTCATAGATTCAGATTGTGCAGGTTGCACTGGTCGCTAGTTGCTGTCTTCATGCCACATTCTTGCAAATAGATTCATAGCACTTTCATTCAAGAAGGCGATTGGTTGCGCTTTCCTGCGCTCTTTGTTTTGCAGGGATCAAATCACTGGATTTCCTGGTCAAAGTTTGCAATGGTCTGGTGCGATCCGTTGAAATCACCACTTTTGGTGGTCCAAAGAAGGGAACCGAACACCCCAGGGGCCCAGTCAGGTTAGCTTTTAGCCACCTGTTGTGTTTGCAGGCAGCCCCCCCCCCCCCCCGGCGGTATGGCCCACACTTTTGTTTGCAGATGGTAATCCCTGAGCCGTCCCCTCACTTCCCACCAGCCAAGACCCCGGGCGCGCATTTCCTTCCAAAGCTCAATGGCCTCTTTGGGGCACTTCACCTGCTCTCCGTGTATCGTGGGTCCCAAATTGCTAAAAACAGAAGCTGGGCCGTCCGTTTTCAGATCCCCTGCGAAAGTGAAGAACTTGTGACCCAGCAAACGCACTCAAAAGCTGCAAACGTAAGGAACCGGATGGCTGGGAGCCACCCAGGAAACTGTCGGTGCTGCTACAGAAAAGTTAAAGGACACCACAAAATGCAAATTTTCGTTGGATTTCTCCATGAGACGAACCCGGAAGGAACCCTGTAATCCCACTAACATGGCACCTGCCAGGGGGTTCATTTTTTTTCCCAGGTACCCTTTCCCAGTGGGAGAAAGGGTACCTTCTGCTTCACACAGGCTGTCGGGCGTGAATATACAGCCCTCAAGCCTGATCAGGATGTCACAAAAACACAATTTGAGTCATAATCAAAACACGGTACTCAAATGGTCTACCCAGAGCCATGCTTCAAGAATTAAGAAGGCGGATATCCGCAGCTATTTCTGGCAAGGGGATTGTCCCTTACTAACCTTCATCTACTCGGGTTTTGATCAAGTGGCTCATTTGGCTTGTCATCCCCTGGCTTTGCTTGTGCAAACGGAGGCGCTACACGCCCGAACTCACCAACCTCAGGGCGTTGACCTTCCACTGCTCTAGGGGTTGATTCCATTTCCATTCTTTTCAGCCATCGTTCTTTTCAAAAACTGATCGCCATTTCCCCGGGGTTTTTGGTGGTTTTCTAGAAAGAAGGATCCCTGGAAAGAATGGGGAAGGAAGTTACCCCTAGAACTGTGCGCAAATGAGCCAGTCACTGCATGTTGAAACATGTTGAGGCGCCATAAGATAACTTCCTGGATTGCCGGTTGCTGTTTTTCTCCATGCACTGTACCCCAAAAACCAGCAACAGTGACTGAAATAAAACAGCAACTTGGCTCTCTAGGTTGTCACTAGTACAACACACCTAACCTCGCGCACCGAAATCGCCGTAACGATTCCTCACAGCCAATATAGATCACAAAATGAGCACATAAGAGGTCAATGCATCAGTAAGTAGCTGAACTTGATGAGTCATTTGGATAAGAACAAACGGTAAAGGAAAGGGTTCTTACCCCATTTAAACTCCAAGCCCTGGGGAAGTTAATCTTTTATATAGCCCATGTTACCCCCAACAAGTTGGAAAGTGGTGTTTTTAAGAGGTAAGGGTTTCGCGAGATGTCACTTCACCTTTAAACTTTGATTGACCCCCTAGAGTTGGGAAGCTGTTCACGCTCTTCCCATGATCACCCTCGAGACTCTGGTGGCAAAACGCCGGCTTCAAAGCTTTCAGTCATACTCAAGGAAGCAGTTTTTGGCGGGCACGGCACATCACCCAGGCATAGCTTCTTTTTCCAAAGGGTGCTTTATCATGAAGCAAACATTTGGCTCACTCGCCCTCGCGCCCCTAATCCCTGCGCTCTCCCTTGAGCCACACAAGTAAGATCGATACATCTTCACTGCATGGGCAGAAAGGCTCCTGATGAACTTTACCATCTTGACATGGGCTTTTAAGGGCTACAGAAACGCTCCGGATGAACTTTACCTCTCCAGCGAATTTTTCGGAAAGTTCCATCAAAGCCTGAAGGAAGCCAGCGCCTCACCGCCACGAAACCGCGCTCCGCTCTTTGCGCCTGCGCCATCTTCTTCATGGCACACCTGAGTGACTGCCGCGTTTGGAGGAAATCCCAAAAGGGAAGGGAGGAAACGCAGCGGACATGGCCAATCTGCGGCCCGCAAGCCACGGCCCCCATTGAAAACTCGTCGCAGAAAGCCAGGGCTGACACATACGCAAGGTCAGTTCCCACAGGCGCCTCGCAGATTCAGGAACGAGCGAAACAAGTACAACGAAACCGCTGTGCTCCATAATTTGTTCCCAGAGAACAGGTTTCAATATGTAATGGCAAATCCAACTACTCCAGCCAAGTACCAACTGAGCAGCACCCGAAACTGATTTTAGCTTGCACTAGGATGGTCATAAAGGTTTATTGTAGCCTTTGCTATCCATGGGAAACACGACTCTTTTGGGAATGGGAACTAAGCAGAACTCATGGTCGACTTTTCTCGGCGGGTGCCCTTTTGGTGGGGATTGATCACATCTCGAGGGAACACTCCATCAATAGGACGGGTTCTACTTAGATCCGGGGTCAACAGTAGCTATCATCTTGGTTGACGTTGGAAGGCGAGCAAACAATTAGATTTTAACAGTTAAGTGCGGATTTCCCACTAAACCACAATAAGCAAAAATGTAAAATGTGTCCCAACGACAACCATGTCATTACCCTCCCACCAATTAACATGGAAGCTGACGAGGGGGGGGTTCCCGAAGACCATTCTCCTTTTTAAAGGGACCCGCTGTCAGATTCCATGTTACTTGGTGGTGGAAGGAACAATCTAAGCAACCGCGGCCACTGGACTTTTCTCGGCTTGGCCCTCGGCACATACTCCCAGGTGGTGATAAACAGCTTGCGCCTCGGACGCAATGCATAGCAAACACACGTCGTGCCCATGCGAGAAGAGATCCACGTAGCTCCCCAAAAGCAGCAACGACTCTACTCAAACAGGTGGAGATATTGAAACTTGGCACAGAAGCTAAATGCTCAACCCGAAACTATCGTATCCTGTCAGCATGAGGTGATTGACACTTCGCCTGAGAAATTCTGTGCCGCGCACGATCGTAGTGGCACCCTTTGTGGGCAAGACGAAGCCAAAAGCGCTTGGACGGGTCCTTTGGCTATGCCTGAACTTCCGCTTGTAAAATTCCGAAGGGGAACATGTATGGAGAGGTCTGAAGGATCCTCCCATGGGTGTGCCCCAAAATCGGGGAAGAAGACACGCCCACATTCCTAGATGTCCTTTTGGACACAAACACATGGCACTAGGTAAATATGATTAGAACCAAATCGAAACCAGTGCCATCAATGTTCGAGCTACGGGCGTCTCCCACATTCTTTCTGGAATCGACCAACACTTGCGTCCTCGGGTGGCTTTAATTTGACTCATACCCTCTTCAGAATCGAGGCTTGCCCAATCCTAATCCAAAATCTCGTTTGGGACACCACAACAAACTTCTCAAACCTGAACATGGTAGGAAATCACCGCTTTCTGCAGCCCACTGACAATGAACAAAACACACGAGGAAACAAGCAAACAAAACAACATGGAAAGATCAAAGAAGCAAACCATTTCCCCCTTTCGCAACAACTTTCCTTGACAATGAAGCACTTAAACATTTAACAAAAACCCACTAAACCCTACAAAGCAAACAAAACCCAAGTTGAACCGGACGGCTGGTTCCGAACCACCGGGGCAAATCACGGCTTTGGTTGTTGAACAGCTCAGGTGATCTCATAGCTCAGCCGCCGGCGCTTTCATCAGCTCGATGGACCAGCGAGCCTTGCTCGCCTTGCAGTCCGGGTCCTCACGCTTTCGTCTTTCAAAGGCATCGAGCGTATCGGACCAGGGCCCCCGAAGTCAGCGAAATGTTGGCTCTCCCGAAGTCGCGAGTTGGTGAAACAAATCTCGAAGATTTTGGATTAAAAAGCGAGTTGTGAAGAGTCGAAGATTTGTTGAAGATTGGAGAGTACGAGAGTTTTGGAGCTGGCTAAGGGCTGATTTCAAATGTGGGAAAGGATTCAGACATCCACACCTTGGCAAGAAACCAGGGGACGGTCGTCATTTCTTTCCTTCCCACTGGTTGCTTCATGGTTCCCTCAAAGTGCCTCGGGTGGAATCGGGGAACCCAGGCGTTCGCAAGCCCACGGAAGGCCATTTCTCCAAGCGGGTCTCACGTTACACTCCAGGTCCTAAAAGTGATTTGGAGAACTCCCCCTGAAGTCGATGTACATCATGATTTCCTTTCAAGTGCCTTTGTTTCCTTTTGCATGCGTTTTAGCGTCGCGCGGAGTCGCTCTGCATCCGAGAGAGAGGGAACTCCCCTGAAGAGAAAGGGTATGTATGGGTGTGTCATTTGTTGAGGGCACCCTTGGTGCTGCTTTGAAGGAAGGGCGAACCTCCAGTTGGGGCCCTGGTTGCCTTATCTTTAAACAAGGCAGGCAAGGACTCCATCACCCCAGAAGCTTAACTTGTTTCAACACACAAAAGGTGATGCTTTTCCAGCCACCATTAGATTTATAGGAACCTCTGGGGGGTAAAAATAACCCTTTAAGGGGAAGCCATGTCCTTGAGCACACACCAAGCCAACATCTCAGGTCGGTCCCTGAGGTTGGCAATGAGCGCTTGCTTGCTGCGCCTAGGGAGGCGAAACGATGCCGTGGGTGTTCCCGTGGCTCCCACGAAACACAGACCCTCTTGTGTCCCATCGTCGTCGTCATCATCAGCAGCAGCAGCATCAGCATCATCATCATCATCATCACCGTTATCGTCGTCGTGTGTTTGAAACTGGGACCCCACCTTCGATCTGAACCTGTTTGGATCACTCAGTTGGCGCAACAATCGTGTTTTGAGAAAATCTTGCATTGTACCTGCGCGAGAGCCCTCGATTCTCTGATATTTCTTGAAGATCATCACCTAGCAGCTTTGCCGTGCAGGCAAAACACCGCTTCTCCCCCCAAAAATGGCAATCCCGGTTGACATAGCCCTGGCCATGCGCTCTACACCATTCATCTCGATTCTGATTCACCCGCTTCTAGCCTTCTCTCGGTCCCCGGCACGCTGGGTCTGATGTTGCTGTAGCTGTGGCCCAATGGCTTGTTCGGCCTGAACGGAAAATCGAGCCATGAGTCTCAGAAGCGGCGGGCTAGCCCAGACCAACATGGGCCCCATTTTGGATGGAAGGAACCCCCTGAGCCAATCATATTGCGGATGGACGAAATCCTGCACCTTAGAAACCCAGGAATGATTCGATTCCCCTGCAAAAGTACCGACAAACAATGGTTTCAACCATGGTTTCATTTCGTGGTGAAGGGGATTTCGCAACCATCGACAGTATGCAACCACTTGCCTTTTCGCAAGCACCACCTTCAAAACAGCTCTGCGACCAAGGGCAGCTGCCAGGCTCTCATGCGCAAGCAGATCAGATGCGCTCAGGCTCGGTCCATGCGAAGGCACAGCCTGCGAGCGCAAGCTTTGCGGTTGGGGGACACCCGACGTTCGTGAAAAAAATGCACGTCCTTCAATGCTTTACGAGATAGCCAAGTTGCGATCGATCTTTTCAGTCACCGTTGCTGGTGTTTGGGGTAAAGTGCATGGAAAAAAGACAGCAACTGGCGATCCAGGTTAAGAAAAAACAAAGTTGCGCAAGCTCGTCCAATGCTCTGCTGGTGATTTGGAAACCTCTGTTTTGCTCGTTTGCTCGTTGTAACTGGCTTAAAGCGTCATCCCATGCTCGTTTGCTCGTGCCCTAAACCCAGCCAGTCAGTGAGGAAAGTCCTCAGATTCCTGGAGTTCGGCAACTGTCGATATGGAGACATTCTTAAAGCCAACCCCGGAAGGCAGATCCACAGGGTGCTAAGTTTCAAGCAGGCGGTTGACACTCTGATTTCCATGACCACCAACATCTGTTCAATCCTGCAAGTAGGGAGACTTATGTTGAGCCCTGCTTCAGGGAGAGTGCTTGCACCAGATCTCCTTTCCATCAAGAAAGAGAGCCCACTGCCAAGGAAGAGCTCGTTGCAAG